GTGAATCAAGATTAAATATTTATGAAACATAAGTATCCTCATGTGTCCTCCATGTCCATGTGCTTCCTTTTATTTTACTTTTGGAGCTATTCCTTCCCYATTATCTCTTTTGCTTTCTGCCATAGTTTATGGACTGATCATAATAGACATTTACAATATTTTGTATTTCTTACTGTTGAGTTCAAATACGGGTGATTCTACAGTCCTTCTCTTAATGCACAGTTGTAGTGTGCTGCCTTGGTATAGAGCTTTTTGCAGAACTTCTCTTCTTTGCTACTTGTTGATCAAGATCAAGTTGTAAAGAGCAGGACAGCCGTCGTGATGTAGTGCAAGGTATAAACACCAGGATTTGAAATGCCTGCCTCACTTTTCTGCTCTTCTGCACCAACACTCTTCTGCTCATATGAGTGGGAGGACCCCACTGTGAAACAGGGAGCGGGCTGCACGGATGACTGAAGCTCAGTATCCCCAGGGAGCTGTGCCTCATAAAATATTTGATACAAGAAAAGAAGTGCTGGATGTTCGAGCATGCTTCAGGAATTCCCAGAGGTGGCATGTGGGGTGTGTGCACTCGTCTGTAGGCATGCCAGCAGCTACTGAATGGCCGTCAGCATTTTCTGTTGTACAAACAGAAGCTTGTTTGGGGTCCTTCCCACAAACGCGCTTAATTCCCTGTGCTGCAGAGTCCCCGCTTTACTCTGTAATTGCAGCTGACAGCCTGGATTGGTAGTATCCAGCAAATGTTCAGCAGCATCAGGCACGGGCTGATTGACGGGAACACCACACAGGGAGGCTCTTGCTCTGTGAAGGTTTTTGGTCTGCAGCAGCATGATAAGCAATCASTGTTACTGGAAACATTCTCACATGCTGCATCTCAAACTGAGAGGCATTTCATCCTTTTACAGGTGATCCTGAGCACAGGAAGGGCAAGATGTGAATGGACACAATTGTGACTCCAGTGCTGTTTGTTTTGGCCTGAATTTTATTAGCAACTAATGGTAAGCCCTGCAGTCCTTGCTAGGGCAGGGCAGCAGAGGTCTAGGCTTGCATGAATACAGACAGCATCAGGAGCCTGTGCTCCACTACCTTGCCTTACCTCACATCTGAATTATCCTCTGGGGAGTGCACAGGACATTCACAGCAGTTAATGTAGGACTTACAGAACTTACAGTGAATGGGCAATGAGTTGGGACCTTCCCGGGGCAATGGTGAAAGCTCACCTAGTATTGCAAGTCAAAGCTTGCATGCCAGACTTCAAAACTGTCAGTAAAAGGGAGAGCATTTTGTTATGTATTGGAGCAAACTCAAAAGTTTGCAAAGCATGTTTGATGCAGAGAATCTATGTCTTGTCACACCAATGTGTGTCACACCAGACTGTATCTATGAAGTAGCTTTTAGTGCTGCTTTCTTGATCTGCTGGCATCAGGGTAGACTTGAGATCTGTACCCCATCTGAGGGTCAGGTCCCCTTTTACCCTTACCATTTAGGCAAGATTTTTTTTTTTATGACAAGTTTGCCTTAGAAAATTCATCTTTTTTTCTACTCAAGTGCAACTGAAATTGCTTGACTGGCACAGAGGTATTCAGGCTTATGCCAGCATCATAGGGTAATACAGCTCTAGGATCTGCCCCTAAAAGTTTRTCTGCAGCCTTCTTGGTTTGCTGTTTAATGATATTTGTCTGCCATTCCAAATTCTGGCAGATGCAACTATATAGAATTTCCCTGGAAAAAAACAGCAACTGTGTCAGAGAAGTAGAAATACAGTTAAAATGATTGTGATGTATTTAGACTATGGGCTTCAATGTAGGGGTTAAAAGTGTGTTATTCAGTATTCCAGGAAATTGTCAGGATCACCAAGTATTGTACTGACTTGACCTGTGTTACATTGAACTCACTCTTTCCATGTTTCCAATAAAAACATACAGCAGATTGTTCCAGAAGCAGTGTCAAACTCAGTTAAAAATAAATCCCCTCATACTTTAAACATGTAGTGTGTATACTAAATATATCGCACCAAAATATCTCTTGTAAGGAAAACTATCTAAAATATATCAACCCTGAAATCTCCCCTGGGTCTTYTGCAAAACCGTGGATTTAAGTTAGGATTCCTGAAAGTTAAAATAATCGTTCCTCATTTGCAAGCCACCTAATCCTCTGTCTTTTACTCTGCTTTTATTGCAACACTAAACCAGCTTTGTTTCATTCATGTGCAGGATTTGTAAATAACTAATTATAGCCATGTTTTTTTCCCTTGGAGCGTTAACATTTGGCACCTGAGAGAACTGTTTCAACTACCTGACAGTTCAGGGGAAGCAGTGGACTCRGTCTCAAAACAGTAGGGTACAGCTGACAGGCTCTCTTGGACCACTTCACCTCCTGCTTTCAGAACAGCAATCAGATGAGCCAGAGGGCAACTTTAGGAAAATATTTTTCTCTAGTAGCAGTAACATCTGTCTCCTTGGCAGCCTCCGCTGGCAGTTGTGTTGGAAGCTGTAGGTTTGCCCCYGGCCCTGCTGTGTATTTACATTGCTGAGAGGTTATCCTGAGCTCCACTGGATCCTGTTACCTGATTTTCTTTTGTTCTGTCATTTTCCCTCTCTGATGCTTTGGCTGCTTAACTCTTTAGGGGTACATGTAAAGTGAAAATTACATGTGCAGTATGAGCTCAAAGGTATTAATTTGAAAGTAGTAAGTGGTAAACCTCTTTCTGATTAGAGATGCAGATTTTCTTATCTGTTTTAGCTGTATTTATTTGGCTTCAGCCTAAGAAATTTCACCGTTTCTGTGAAATGGTCTGTGGTTTTGAAGGTGCTGTTCTCAACGCTTATATCTTCCACTTGTATSGAGTTGTCTTTGGTACTCTTATTTCTCCTGCATTTTACTCTCTTCTTCTGAATGACTGATATTTGACTGATGCTTCATTTCAGTGGAATGATGGTATTACAAAGACARTTATAAAGTAATAAGCACGGGCATATCAATATTTATTGAAATACTGAAAAAAAAWTTCCATTGGTGATGAGAAACTCTTGGCAAGAACTGACATGACAATATGTATTTCACTGATACAGTAAGAGAACTTCAACTTCAACAAGTAACTCACTGCACATTCTAAGAGTTGCATGGATTTAAATCCAAGGCAGCTGCAGAACATCTGTAATACAAATAGTCAGACTTTACAGATTGTCTGTTTACAAACACAGAACAACTATAATAAACCAGCCAAAGCCAAACCTTTTAAATTTAGTCTGCTTTTACTAATATATCCTGTAATCAATAAGGCAGTCAGAAGAAAATGCTTGGTTACAAAGTAGTTAACAATTAACGTCWGTGGGGTTTCTTTTGATTTGTTTTGTTTTGTTCTGTTCGTGTACTTTGGGCAATATCATGGGATTCCTGGAACCCCAGATGTGGGCAAATATACGTTAGATTACCTGACACCATTCCCATTAACTTAATTGTTCCTTTCTTCYACATTCTTATTTTAATTCTCCTGTCCTGTATAGGTAATAGTGTTGTGAATAGAGATGGCAATATTTTTTTCAGCATTTTCCTTAACATTCAGTGAGATTCACTGTAGCATTTCAAGAGGAGTAAAAAAAAAAGAGAAAATACAGAATGTAGACACTTGAATTAATGTTTTGCTTTTCTTTCAAAAAGGAATGACCACACATATCTTGTTCATGTATTTCACAGCCACCCTCAATCGGCACCCACACTTTACTGTTAATTTTGTTTGCTTGAGGGAGAACACTGGTATTTAAATARTTCTTCCATCTGCCCTGTGTGATGCTGAGGGGGCTGTTCTCAGTTTGCTCGTGGTCTGTAGGACAGGGTGTGTGTGCTGGGATACAAGACAGGCATGTAGGAGTTGCAGACACTTGGCTTTGCTGTGTTGGTACCCTGTGCATGGACAGAATATTAGAGCTGATTAATACAGGCAATTAAAATAGTGTGCTTCATACTAATGCAGATGTAATAACTGATGTCTTTGGTATACAATGTATGAATGGTTGGACAAAAGTGAGAGAAATGCACCTTTTCAAGTTCACATGAAGCAGAAAATGTTGTAACTCACATAATTTACAATAGATTTAAATAAACTACATTTAGGATTATGAAGATTTACAGACATTTAATCAAGTGAATGATTTTAATTTGTAAAGACCCTTCTGTGTCCCTGAACTATGTTCCACTAACTTGAAGACATGCTACAGTAAACACATATATTTGGCTTCTTCATTCTGGCTATATCTTATATAAAGATGAAACCAAAGAACAATAAATTAGCATCATAATTGTCTACAGTGAAAACTACCATATACAATATAAATAAACTATTCAAAAGCCAGCAATCTTCATGAAAAAAATTAAAGTATTAGGATTTTATACAGTTTCTACAAGTGATTGTGCAGCCRATAATCTCAAAAATTAAAGTAAAAATGAAATACCCCTATTGATTTTAGTGTCTCACGACATACAGTAATTAAGTACTGGTAAAATAATTACCAATTTAAAAGAAATAATAAGGAAATCACTGCTCTTCAATTTTATCACAGTTTTTTCCCCACAGGACCTAAAGAATGTAAACACTATGTTTTTGTTAATGTTAGAGATTAATACTTTATTTTGAAATGTATGTTGATCTACACCTTAAGGGTAATGAAATAAGGCAAGACTTATAACTGTGGCACTACATGTTAATACTGATACCTTCATTTGGACAGAGAGAGAAGTGTTTGTTCTTTTCTAATATTTGTTCTGCAGCAGACTTTGGCCTATATAGACACAGCAGTATCACTCTTCTTTCTTTGCGTAAAATGTGTGTATTACCTAACTTTTAAAACAAAAAGTTTCATTAGGTATTGGATTGAGTAGAAATTTAGTTTCCAAATTACTGGCAGTTTTAAAGATAATTTCTTAATAAGCTCCATGGCATCATCAGGTCATACAATTCACTTGTCACTTCTTTTATCACAAAATGCTTTTTTTAAAAAAAAAAATTTAGTCTTTTAACATCCATATTTGGTGTCCTAATTTTCCACTTTCTTTTCAAAGATATGTTGGGATGGCTAAAATATCTCCATTTCCTYTACTTGGAAAAAAAATCATATAGTGGAGCCATATTRCTTAAGTGTGTAGCTGATTTGGCTAATTTACTTTGGAATATTTCCTTTGCTACTTAACAGCTGTCTGATAAGAGCAGTAGAAGAGGGATACTGCCTGGTAGAACAACATGAACACGTGACAAAACAAACTTCAGAACACGGTTAAGAATGCCAAGCTAACTGGATAACAGACTCTTCCTAGTAGCGGTTTGCAGGCCCCAGAGGCCGACAGGCAGAGCCAGCCTCTGAGGGTTTGGTGGCCACACCACATAGCACGTGGCCTAGGCCAGCTCTCTCTTACAGCTTGTTGAGTGGATGCCACATCATTTATCACAGAAGAAGTAAATGTTGGGTCCTTGTAAGGATGACAGAAGATGCTATAGGTGCAGTTTTGCATCTGTTGTAACTGTTTTACAAGTCCTTCCATGCAGTGAAGGAATTTAGTGCACTCAAATTCCCCACTATCTTAGCTCAATAATACGGATCAGTTTTTTTTCACCTTGGTTTCTTCATATTGGCAATCAGCAGAGTTAAATATACAAGGATCATTTTGTCCTTTTTCATGTTGACATTGTTRGTAGAATCCACTTGGTAAGTTCACCTCAACTCCAGGATAAAGTCCTATATAGATTCCTTTGGGGATGTGTAGCATATGATTCACAGTTTGCAATACAAATACCCTGATACATCACTTATTTACTATTAGTATTTGATTATTATACCATTTTGCAAAGTCTTAAAACCACATTTTAATTAGTGTTGCTTGGAGCAGTTCAGAATATGTTTTTTTTCCTTGAAAGCAGAAGCTGTAATGGGTATAATTTATGCTCTCTTTGCATGCAGCATCTCAATGAGAAGGTTATTACACGGCACATCCCCATTCAGGTGTTTGTAATAGAGGTATTCTTCGGCCTGCATACTGATGGCCCGGATTTCTGGTAGTCGCAGGAGAAGCTGCCCAAATTTGTCTGTTTGCTGTGGGTAATTACACATTGTGTAGTCCAGCAGAGCAGCATTCACTTGTTCCTGAACCCCTTCCACAAGCTGGAAGTTCTCGAGATTTTTGACATCTGAATGATAATAAAAAAAAAAAAGGTAACAATTCAGTTGCATTTTAATTCCTGCTTATGAAGGCAGTGTTTCACTAAATGGATGTATTTTTTTTTTTTGCCTCCTGACAAAAGCATACTTTACAAGCTGCTGAATATTCAGTGAACCCTTTTGCCAACTTTCCTGGGAAAATCATCACAAAAGAGCTTTAGTGGAGTGTCTTGTTGAAATTCTGCATATACCTCAAATCAATTAGACACCAATGGAGTCTGAGCAAGGTCAGCTCTTTTCATAGCTAACAAAAAGAAAGGTTGAGGATTCCTAAAGTAGAAGACCATAATATATTGCTAGCAAATGAGTCCCAAGAGGAAGCSCTATCTTTAACCTACTATGTTACACAATTCATATAATTCTGTATTAATTTTTCTGACCCAAGGTGAAATCTGTGTCCAGGGTATGATGTAGTTAATTCTAATAAAAAGTGACAGCGTTCTTGTTTCTGTTTGACATTTTCTAAATGATTCTGAAAGCCTTTGACTTGTCTAGCCTATGTTAATGAACCATCTGGTACACTCCAGTGACTGCCAAAATAATATTCCCTACAAGAAACTCTCTAAAATATATATTTCACTGACTAATGATCTTTATAAAATGAAATTATTGTCCTTTGGGTGGAATACTAGATAAGAATGGTGCCCTTTAACCTGCATATGGTTTCTGAAATCCAACACTGATTTTTTTTTTTTTCTGGTATTGGACAACGGGGCATTTACATCAGCACGGCAGGTACAGTTTGTTCACTCTGCCTCTGTTTGATTATTTTCTGTTCCTATACAGCCAGTTCTGGAAATGCTGGTCAGAGATAAATGCCAGTATATTATCTCCTCATTGTTTGCTCCCCTGTGTAAAAACCACTCCGATGGAATTGTCTTTTGACATGTCTGGTGCATGCAGAAGTTATTCTAAAGCTTGCAAATTAGAGTGCTGCTCTAATGCAGGAAGAGGGAACTGATCAAAGTGCACTTGCTGGGAGAGCTTGTTTTGGTTGGTGTTTGATTATCTWTACCATCAGTAGAGTACTCTAACACTTTCTTGTAAGGCTAATGGTGCTACTGGGCATAGCTAATGCTGCTAAATCACTTTGGATATAGACAAATCTGTTCATTTCTGGATGTACTTGGAGCATAGAAGATGGAGAATCTGGCAGAATTTGGTTCATTGTAAATGCCAGCCTTTGATKGTAGGGGAAATGAGTGTTTTCCTTTGCAAAACAGGAACACACGTTGTTCACCCGATCCATCGGGAGCCTGGCAGGCTCTGTAAATTGGGTCTCACTGCAYTTTTTCCTAGAAGTGCTTTAAACAGAGCAAATACTGGTTCCTGCACATAATTTTGTGCTGGAACATGTTTAAGTTGAGGGAAATGGTTGGAGGAGGCAACCATTGTCTTCTCAAAAAGAGGATAGGAGAGATGCCAAGGATCCCGGTGGCAGCTGGTGGCAGCACGCACAGGCTCCAGAGCCTGAGCTGTAGGCTGTGAGCAGGAGCCCCTGTGGATGTGCTGGCTGCCAGCTGCACATCGGGCTCCCTCTTGCATGAGCTGGGGCGACTGTTTCCTGCTGGGGTTGTTACTGCCTGCCTCTTTCCTGTCCCAGTTTCACTGGAAATGAAGCAACTGACTCTCCTGGATTTGTGCTGCTTGTTTGGGAACTGGGGACACAACATCCACCTGAATTTTGCTAGCTGACTTAAGGAACTCGCCAGTAATTCTTAAATTATGATGGCTGTYCAACAAGAATCATCTGAACTTTACATTATCCCGAGTGGAGAGGAATGGAAACTTCAAAGCTGCTATGCCTGGTCCCTTAGCTATTCAAACTCATTTATCCAAAGTCTTTTTGCCAGTGTCTCCGGAGATCTTTGGATAATCATGTTTTCATGTTTTACACTGGACATTTTCTCACACAAAAACATAGCTGTTTATTGCTTTATGTACCTACAGAAAACTCCCAGGATATTTTGTAGCTTGTGCAACCTGGTTTAAAAATTGGGTGTTCTAAGCATATTTTTATAAAGTTAAGAAAGAAACAGTATCAACTATCACAATTAATTTAAGTAGGTTGTTTCAGATGCAAAATATAATCATGAATGAATTGCTAGAAAATAAAAACTCCCACAGAAAACAGGGACTATGCTGGAGATTAAACTGTTAAACAGCAAGGTAAAATGTATGATGATTTCAGAATCAGTATTTTACACTTTTTTTCCTCTGTAAAAATAACTTTAAAAGTTAGAAAGTTTTAGAAACTGTTCGCTGGTTCAACCTGCTTTAAATTCAAAGGACATTTTTCTGTTGCCGTCTGTCTGTTTTGAGCCATACTGCCTATGAAATTGTGCTGGCTTCTTGGAAAACCAGGTTCATTAGTATTTTTGCCCCCTGTTTAAATGCTATTGCATGGATAATATATTTATTGAAAAATCACAAGATAAATTTTTGCAGAGATKAAGAAGAAGCAAAATCTGAGGATTGCAAACTTTTAATGTTTTTCTACAAAAGTTAATATATGTTTTAGAGTGAAGTTAATGTATGTTTTAGAGATACCTTCTGTTTTTTAGCTGTATTGATACCATACYCCAAGTCAAGAGGAGGCTTTATATTTGATGTGTTACCCCCAAACAGGATCAGTGACTTCTGGCAGTGCAGTGCAAGGTGTTCTTATATACCCGTCAGCTGCGTGGCCTCAAGGAGCTCCATGGGGTTTCAGAACTACCAGGTAAGCTCTGTGCTGTTTTCTTTTCTTATCTCAGCGGACAGTTCCTTCAATACTCACATGTGGCAATGCAAGCACTGAAGGCAAGATGTAAAAGCAAGTCCAATTGATACTAAAAATAAACAAAAGGTGGTTCTGTGCCCTCTATGCCCCATTCAGCCTGGGGAAATAATTTTAATATCTTTCCTCTAAACAAATTCTTGCTATTTGTGGTAAGGCTCAGTGCTTCTAAACAAGATGTTATTGGTGAACCAGTGGAAAATTTGCACATTTTTCCTGACTTTCTATACTGAATCAGACACAGTCCAAATAATTACAGCTTAGGACATCACTRCACAATTCATCTGTTTGTAGATCTCTCCAGGACTGCAATTATAATAGTGAGTTTTAGAGGCAACCTGATTTGGAGTGAGTCTCCATGAAGTGACCAAGATCTCTGGCTATGACTTTTGATAAGTGCTCTTATCTCACATACATTAACTGTTGCAATAAAGCAAACAAAACAGTCTGAAATGAGAGAAGTCAAAGGATGTGTGCTGAGAGCACTGTGTAAAGCTCCATTATCACCTCTCAGGTTCTCCTATGATATTTTGAATATGTCAAAAATAGGTTTGTTGAAACCATAGTTGCAATAAAAGTTATGTTGTTCTTTTTGAGTGAGATCAGGAACTCTAGCTCTGCTAAGGATAAATAATAACAAAGGAAAATATGTAAATATTAAGTTATTTCCAGTAACTTCAAGTTATGCAGGTAGAACAAGAAATGATACACAGTTTTTACTGGAGGTATTTAGTGTTACCTAGTAGTGATACAAATGAGATTAAATAGCTTTGCGGTTTAACTAGCTGGTTTTCCTGTGGTTTGAGTTTGGTTTTGTGCTTGGTATTTATTATGTAATTCTGGCTAAACAGATGTGATTTAATTTTACGAATRTTTCCTTTGACTGCTAATGAGTTAACTTGGTGAGACATCAAGCAATGCTGGTGTAACTGCTGAAGCAGTTGTGKACGAGCATGAAATCTGCTACTGACGCGTACAGCACAACATCCTTTATGCTTTCACAGAATTCCTCATTCCTATTATTTTTTTAAACTGGAGTGTCTCTTTTCAATCTTTACATCTGTTAGTAACAATTTAAAATACACRTGTTTAAGCTTAATGCAAGAAATCATTTTGTGAAGTTTAGATGCTTGTAAATTAAATGAGTAGGAGTAGGTCTCCCCCTCCCACCCACACACCCTTTAAATCCTAGCAGCTAGAAAAAGTGTTTTGTGTTGCTACAGTAAGTATCAGTCTCTTAGCTCTTCTACTTTATTCACTCAGGGACTAATTACCAACTTTTTACATGAAACAGCCTTACTGTGAGCTCACAGTGGGGCGCGCATCTTTTTCTATCCTTATTGAAAAGTAAACCCTTAGGTCTTCTGGAATATATTATATGTTTTACAAGAAATAGCAATTGCTTTTCTGTCAAACAAAGAATTTTTGTTCTCTATAGCTTACTTTTGACGATTAAGACAAAAACAGTATTATAGTGTGTCAGGATCTGCTCTGCAGTCACAATAAAGATCTGCCAGTATTCCCAGATAACCCCCCATTTTGATTATTTTCTACATCTGCTATAAAGCTGTGCATTAAGCTGAAACTGCATRCAACATTCAGCCCAAGGAGAACACTTTTGCATATTTTTCCCCAAAATGGGTCTGGTCTTTAGAGGGGAAAAATATTTAGGTTTCAGAGAGAGATTTTCTCTCTCACATATTCTGAACATGAAATACTGAAAATTTAGGGGTGTACTAATCTACAGAGAGTTTCCTTTGGTCTGGGAATTTTGAAAAGAAAAATGAAACAGAATGAGAGATTTAAATTTGRAAAACAGTAACTCCTTAGGAGCACTAAATATCTCCCAGAGAAAGCYGGTTAAACTTTACTGCTCACGTCTTTTATTTGATACTGTTTCTACATGAAACAATGAAGAGGTGTGAACCCAGATCAGCTGCCTCTCTGCTTTTTGCACCATTGCAAGGACGAAATAAGATTTTGGGTCTGTCCATGGGGAAGAGGATTTCTCACTTTCTCAAGGCTGGAAGCAGTCTCACAGATACTCCAGGCACTAGGGCTTGTTAGCAACCCAGGCCTGAGCTTCCTCACCCTGAGGGGGCTGATGAATMCCATAATTTAAGGGTTTCACTGAAACCCAACCCTCTAATGCTTAGCAGCTCTTTGGAATGACTGATCAGCTCGTAGGTA